TAGATTAGTGATTGCCTAGGGACTGAGGGTTAGGGGATAGGAAGAGACTACTATGGGATAGGGTTTCTTTTTGTGGTGATATCCCGTAATTAGACTGTGGTGATGTTCTCAGAATATGTTTCTAGCATTTGTGTACTTGTAATGCGTAAGCCTTATGGTATGTGAATTATATTGCTTTTATTTTTTTTTTTTGCTATAGGGTATGTACGCTCACTGGTGAGAGAGACAGAGAATGTGAGAAAGCACCATGTTTTTTTTTTCTTTTTTTGGGAGAGGTTTTTGCTATAGGGCGTGTGCGCTCACCAGAAAGACAAGAGAGAGATAGAGAGATAGAAAGCGAGAAATCACCCCCCAGGGGGGATGGCCGTACTGCAATACCATCCCCTCCATTCTCCTCTCGGGATCTTGGACACGCATGCACACGGTCCTGGAGTGAGTTTAAGCTACCTTGTCTGGGACTCAAACCGTGGTCGACTACACGGGAATCCAGCGACATAGCCATTATGCCAACTGCTAGTCCCAAGAGAAAGCACCATTTTAAAGAAAGGGTTACCTGGTATTGGTCCTCAGTGAGGGAGAAAGAGAGAAAGTAAGAAAGCGCACCCCCCCTTTTTTTTTTTGGCTATAGGGCATGTGCCCTTGCCAGAGACAGACAATGAGAGACAGAAAGTGAGAAATAACCTGTGTGTGTGTGTGTGTGTGCACGTGTGCATGCGCGCTGCCACACTCCAATCTCCTCTCTTATTCTCCTCTTGGGATTTTGGGTGCACACGTTCAGGTGCCTGGTGTGACTTTCAAGGGACACAAGCCGTGAATGAGCCATGTTAGTCTCCATGCCGCCTTCTGGCCCAGGAAAGCACCATTTTAAAGAAAGGATTACCTAGGGACCAGCAGGTAGCATAGCAGTTATGTTGTTGGATTCCCATGTAGTCGACTACGGTTTGAATCCCAGATTTTGCGGCTTGAAACTCAATGCCAGGCATGTGTGCGTGTGTTCCCAAAAATCTCGAGAGGAGAACAGAGGAGAAGGGATGGCCATCCCTTCTGGGGGGTGATTTCTCACTTTCCGTCTCTCTGTCTCTCTGTCTCTTCAGTGAGCGCATGCACTCTATAGCAGAAATCTCTCAAAGAAAGAGAAGGGTTACCTGATACTGATTTCCACCTGTCTGCCCCCACCTTGGCAGGGTATCTGCTCCCTCCGGGTGTGGCCTTAGGCGGGTCCTTTATCTGGCTAGCCCGTCACCTTGGTCGACCCTGTGGTCTCCAGTATCCTGAAGCCTTGTACTGTGGGCTGGTGTCTATAAGCCTCTGCTGGCTGGCTTGGCAGGAATGGAACCTAGTGACAGCTCCTGCTCTCTGTAGTTAAACAGATGCGTGCAGGCCACTTTCCTGGGGCACACGGGCCTGGTAAGACTCCTCCTGAGAGCTGAGCATCCCTTCTGAGCTGTCCTGCCTGACGTCTCAGGGTCTAGATCATCTTTATGCCTCACTAATGACATTCGACTCCCCAACTCAGGTGTGGTCATAGGGAGTGGGTGTCACAGCTCAAGGCCCAGGTGGCCCTGCAGGGGGACTTCATGAGCCTGTCTGGCTCCCACCTTTTGGGCCCCTGGTAAGGGATGCTGGGATGTTTACAGTGACCAGTGCCACGGCCCATAGCTGCCAGGTCTCACCTTTGGGGGCAGATCTAGGGTCACACATCCAGGGCTCTGTGCCATGTGTGGCCCGGGCCTCACCAGTCAGAGTTTTGCAAGAATAACTCTCATACAGGAATTGCAGGGTTTCTGGTGAGTTCCTGGGGGAGGATGGAGAAGCCATGAGGCTGGGATCAGAGACTTGGCTTTGGGTCTGGCCTCATAGCCAGTGCCTGCCAGAGCCACCCCACTCCCCAGGCCTCTGTCTTCCTTTGTGGTGGCTGGCCAGTCTCGATTTTCTAGCCCGAGTTCTGGTCCTTCTGCGTCAAGCTGCTTGTTCTGGCAGGTGGGCCTTAATCAAGTCTGGTTTCTAGTCCCTCCTGGACCTGGGACTCCATGGCTAAGGTGGCTCCTCCTGAAGGCAAACAGTCGCTTTGAGTTTTGTTTGAGGTTGACCGCAGAGCTGCCCTTGGCTCCCGAGGTCCACTGTCCCACACCTTGGCCGGGCTCCTCATCACCGGCATCTGTTCACAAGTCTTTCTGAGCAGGTGGTGGGCTGGTCTCGGGGGATGAGGGAGCTCTGCTTGATTCCCTGTCTCATCGAGGAGTAGTGCGGAGTTAGGTCTGGGTCAGTTTTCTTGTCTTTTTTTTTTTTTAAAGAATAATTTTATTTAACTTTATTTATTTATTTTAACTTGATCAGAGAGGGACAGAGTGAGAAAGAGAGAGGGAAAGTGAGAAAGCAAGCCGCCAGGTCTGGGACTCAAACCGCAGTCAACCACATGGAAGTCCAGTGCCCTTAACCACCACGCCACTTGCTGGCCCGAGTTTTCTTGTCTTAAAATGAGGTTAATGTCATCATGTTTTGAATTTTTTTAAAACATTTTTAGCCCCCCTCCCCCCCATAGAATGCATGTACTTGCCTGAGAGACAGTGAGAGGGAGAGTGAGAAATCACTCCCCCCCACCCCAGTGGGGATGGCCACTCCGCAATCCCTTCTCTCCCATTCTCCTTTTGGGATTTTGGGCACGCACACAGGCACCTGACATAACTTCCAAGCTGCTGGGTCTGGAACTTAAACTATGGTTGACCACGTGGGAGTCCGGCACCTTAACCACCGTGCTACCTGTTGGCCCTGCCACCTTTTTTTATTTTTGAGAAAAGATGAAATAAAATAGGTGGCTGATGAGCATGCTTCCCCTATCTGTAGCTGAGATCAGAAAGAGTAAAATACAATAAATAACATTGAACGTGCCTGGTGTGGAGTTGGCCCTGTGGCCTAGTGCTTAAGGGAACTGGATCTTCCATGACCAACCTCTTTTTTTTTTTTTTGGAGAGGTTTTTTGCCATAGGGCACGTGCGCTTGCCAGACACATGGAGAGAGAGACACAGAGAGACAGAAAGCGAGAAATCACCCCCCAGGGGGGATAGCCACGCTGCAGTCCCTTCTCCTCCATTCTCCTCTCGGGATCTTGGGCACGCACGTACACACGCCTGGCGTGAGTTTTAAGCCACCGGGTCCGGGACGTGAACTGCGATCGACTACGTGGGAGTCCAGTGACATAGCCATTACGCTAACTGCTGGTCCCATGACCAACCATTTTTCAAAACCCACTGGCTTGGAAAACATGCCAGGCACATGCGGGTGCATGCCCCAAACCCTTAAAGGAACAATGGAGATGTGATTGTGGCGTGACCAGGCCCAACTGGGGGTGCTTTCTCGCATGCTCACGCTCTCTCTCTCTCTCTCTCTCTCTCGCCAGTGCATGGGCCCTCTGGTAATTAGAAAATAAATAAATAAAAATGAAAGTGCCTGGTAGGAGCAGGACGCAGGCAGGCGTTGAGCAAATGGTTGTCCCTTTCCTGGTGGCTTCTCCACCAGTCGCTGTCTTTCCTTCTCTCTAACTCCTGTTGACAAGATGACCTGGTTCTAGACCTCAGAGCCTTCCCTTTGTTGAAGTAACTTCTGGCCAGAGAGGCCAGGGTGGGGAAGAGGCCAAGGGAGCCTCTCTGGGTGCACGGAGCAAAACAAATGCTCCTACAACTAATTGTGCCTTATTATCATTGCGAAAAACACTTATTACCCCTTGTGTCATTACTGATACCCGCCTAATAATAGTTATTACCGCTTTATTACCACTGAGAGTTTGTTTTAGTTTGCGATTTGATGATGTTTAGTTTCATTTACAGAAAATGAAGGGTCATTTCATTCATGCAAATTGTTACTTAGTTTAGCAAATTGTAACTTCCCGTAAAGCAAGAGGCAGAGGAATTCTTCTGAAGCAAAGTATATGTTTTTAAGGAGAAGTATTTTAGGCAAATGAAAGGAAACTCAAGGAAAAATACTGTAGACAATAAGGAATCACAGCGCCTAAGCTGGAAACCTGTAGAAAGAGCTTGTGTTCGTGTCTGCCCTTTAAAAAGGAGGCGGCTGTGGGCCAGCAGATGGCGTAATGGTTATGTTGCGGGACTCTTATGTAGTTGACTGCAGTTCGAGTCCTGGATGTAGCGACTTAAAACTCATGCTGATGTAAGTGTGCCCAAGATCCTGAGAGGAGAATGGAGAAGGGATTGCGGCATGGCCATCCCACTTGGGTGGGTGGGAGGGGTGATTTCTTGCTTTCTATCTCTCTGTCTCTCTCTTTCTGGCGAGCGCACACACTGTATAGCAAAAAACAAATAATAAAAAACAAAACAAAAAAAGTCAAAAAAAGGATGTTGGTTCCGTTGCGGCTCGTTTGGAAATGAGCATCAGTGTCTGGGCTTCTGCCTTCATGCTCAGCTCTGACTGGGTTGCCAGATTTAGCAAATGAAATACAGGTTGTCCAGTTAAATTTGAATTTCAGATAAACAATACATGTTATTTTAGTGTAAGTATATCCCAAAATATTGGAAAGGATATACTCACACCCCCAAATTATGCCACGTTTATCCAAAATTCAAATTTAACTGAGCCTCCTGTGTTTTACCTGGCAGCCCCAGTTCTGACCCCCCACCTGCATTCGTCTTGATGAAATAATAATAGTTACTGTTTATGGAGATACTTGTCTGCAATGCCAAGAGGTATTCTAAGCATTTTACATACATTCTTCTTTTCCCCTCCTGGGAAACCTAAGAAGTCAATACAAATATCCTTGTTTTAGAATGGAGTGAGCTGGCTCAGAGAGGTGAGGTCATTTGCTGAGGTCACACAGCCCAGGGTGGCAGAGTGGGGACTGAACCCACGTCTGTGGCCGTCGCTGTCCCAGTGCGTCTGGGCAGCAGAGGTGGTGGGAGGAAGGGAGGGCATGGGGCTGGGCTCGTTATCTGAGACCCCCAGTCTGAACCCCCGACCCCAGCAGTGACATCCTGTCTCCTGTCTTCCAGAATCACCGCCACCTCCCTACTCTCGGCTGTCTCCTCACGACGAGTACAAGCCACTGGGTAAGTGTGCCCTCCGTCCTGCGCTCATGCTCGGGGAGGTGTTCACCCCGTCCCACTGGAGGGCTGCAGGGGCGGGGCGCAAGCCGGCTGGTGGTTTGAAAGGGGGCGAAGTTTTGCAAACACTCCCACAGTCGGCCACAGCACACCCAGCCTCTGCAGCAGGCTCTTTAGATCTCGACATTCCTAGGTCATCATTAACCTCTCTGTGACCTTTAAACAGGCCCTGTCGGAGATGAACGGCTTCGCTCAGACATCTCATTGGCGCTGGGCTGGTGTCCCGTGTTCCTCCCTCCCGACCACGGCTCTCCTGCAGTGTGTGTGTGGAGTGGTGTGACAGAGGTCGGGCGGGAGGGCTTCGTCCAGAGGAGCTTTACGTTCCCCCTTTGGAAGCCCAGACGTCCACCTGGTCAGCGATGACAGCTGGAACGTCAGGGGGAACGTGTATTGGTACATCAGCCTCTGGCAGGCACTGTCCCCAGGTGGTAATGTCATTTTGGACAAGCCCCTCGCAGAGGCAGAACTTGCTTTCCTTGACCGTGGGGCATGGGCAGCAGCTCCTGTTCTGGGGTGGTGTAGATGCATGTGGTTATAGAAGTGGGAGTGCTTGGGACCAGCAGTTGGCGTAATGGCTATGTCACTGGGCTCCCATGTAGTTGACCATGGTTCAAGTCCCAGACCTGGTGGCTTAACCTTATGCCAGGTGTGTGTGCGTGTGTGCCCAAAATCCCGAGAGGAGAATGGAGGAGAAGGGATTGCGGTATGGCCATCCCCTCTGGGGGGGTGATTTCTCGCTTTCTGTCTCTTTGTCTCTCTCTGTCTGTCTTTCTGGTGAGCGCACGCGCCCTACAGCACAAACCTCTCCAAAAAAAGAAAAGAAGTAGGGGTGCTCCTCCCCAGCCTGTTTCCTCCAGTGGATGTCTATCCAGTGGGGACTCGGAGCCCAGGGTTTGAGCCAGAGAGCTGATAGTGTCTAGAGTCCTGGTGGGGGCCAGTGCCCAGAGAACATTTTGTGGCCCAAACGATCCGGTTCCCATGGGCCCCGAGCTTCGCGAGTCAGACGGTGTGATGGCTGCGGAAACCTCCACTGAGCCACCGCAGCAAGTGGGTTGTTTTGTTTTGGTAACGGCCTCCCCTCTCAGCGTGTGGCAGCACTATCAGGGGGGTCACTTTTCGGTGTTGTAACCTCTCAGGCATGCACCCCAGTTTCCTTCCAGCCTGCCTCCCCAGCCCCTCGAAATCATAAATGCCCATCAGGTCCCTCCAGGAGTTTGACTTTGACTTCTCAGGCCAGGGGGGCAGAGGCTGCCCCATGAGGGACAATGGCGAAGCCCAAGCCCAAGTGGCTTTGCCATTGTTTGTCCTGGAAGTTGGGCTAGTGGACGGAGAACTGTATTTAGTTCTTGGGGACCTGGAGAGGTCATCTGGTGGGACTGTGTCACCTCAGAGATGTGGAGTCAGGCTGGGAGAGAAACCGCGGGGCTGCAGCCCAAACCCCACGGGTCCCCGGCCTCCCTCGCGGCCTGTCTCAGCGTTTCCAAAGTCAGCAGAGTCGCGCTAGCAGTCACTTAGAAGTGACTGGTCCAGCAGGCAGAAGGAAGGACAAAACGAACTCAGAAGTTCTTAGGAGATGGACACTGCAGTCCGCACGGCAGGGATCGCTGCCCCAGGCTTGTCAGGCAGTCAGCGGCAAGGCTACGAGGCAGGGTCCTCCCCGCCATGGAGAGCCACCATTTGGAAACCAACAGGTGTCCCCATTAATCTACAGATGGGACAGCCGAGGCCCAGAAAGAGGAAGTGACACTTGCCAGTGGTTGTATAGCTGAGCCCACCTGTTTTTATAGCCTGCGAGCTAAGAATGGTTTTATTTTTTAAATAGTTAAAAACAACAGTCGGGCGGACAGTAGCATGGTGGTTAAGACAACTGAATGCCACATGGCCAGCTGCATGGTTTGAGTCCTGGAGCGAGCTGGCAGCTTGAAAAATACGCTGGGTGCCTGCATGCATGCGTGCGTGTGTGTGTGCGCGCGCGCGCGTGCCCAAAATCCTGAGAGGAGAATGGGGGGGAAGGGATTGCGCTGTGACTGCCCCCTTTCGGGGGTGATTTCTCACTTTCCCCATCTCTCTGGCAAGCTCACCTGCCCTATAGCCAAAAAAAAAAAAAAAAAAAAGGAAAAACATGGAAAAAGTCAAGGGTCAGCAGGTGGCGTAATTGTGAAGATGCTGGATCCCACATGACCAACTTCATGGGTTTGAGTCTTGGACCTGTGGCACTGAAACCCACATCAGGCATGTGAGCATGTGTGCCCAAAATCCCAAGAGGAGACAGGAAGTGACTGTGGCATGGCCATCACCCCTGGGGTGGGGGTGGTGATTTCTCACTTTCCCTATTTCTCTCTCTGGCAAAGGCATGCACCCTATGGCAAAAAAAAAATTTAGGAAAAAAGTCAAAAGTAGACTATTGGGAACCAGCAGTTAGAGTAATGACTATGTCGCTGGACTCCCATGTAGTCGACCGCGGTTCGAGTCCCGGACCCGGTGGCTTAAAACTCACGCTGGGCACGTGTACTGCATGCCCAGGATCCCGAGAGGAGAATGGAGGAGAAGGGATTGCGGTGTGACCATCCCCGCGGGGGGTGATTTCTCGCTTTCTGTCTCTTTGTCTCTCTCTGGCAAGTGCACGTGCCCCGTAGCAAAAACCTCTCCAAAAAAAAAAGTAGACTATTGCATGACGAATGAAAATTATGTGAAATTCACATTTCCGTGTCCGGAAGTGAGGTCCTCCTGGAGCGTGGCCAGCACGTCTGTTTCCCTTCTGTGCGTGGTGCCTCCACGCTGCGTGGGTAGGGGGGCAAGTTCCAGTGGGGAGGGTCTGCTTCACCAACCTGGGAGCACAAGGGGGTCTCGAAGAAGTTGGTGGAAAATGCATATTCTGACAAAACCATGCGTGGATTTCTATTTCTTTGCACTAAAATAAACTCATACTTGAATTTCATTTTCCACTTACCTCAAAAAAATTTGTTTTGTTGGAAAATGGGGGGGAGACGTCCCCCCCACTATGGGGCATGGTCACGCTGCAATCCCTTCCCTCCATTTCTCCCTCTTGTTGGGATTTTGGGCACTTATGCACACATACTCGCCATGTTTCTCAAGCTGCTAGCACTGAGATTTGAACTGTACAGTTGGCCATGTGGGATCCAGTTGCCTTAGCCACCAGGCCTTGGAGCTATCTCCCTCCACTAACTTTTTGAAGTCCCCTTGTATTTGATTTCTGGCCCTTTACATACAAAGCTGGTGACCCCTGATATTGCTAAAAAAGTAATGGAATTGCAGCTCAAACCTGAGCCTCCAACTTCCAGATGGGGGTTCCCGGGGCTTGAGCGGACAGGATGGGACTGTCCTTTTTCTGCATCAGCCACTGGACTTTAAGAGCCTCACTACAAACACTAGCAGTGAGGGTTTGGCAGGGCGCCATGGGGGCTTCCTAGCTGGGCCAGGCAAAAAGTGGACAGTGCCTGTTGCCCCTGCCTCCTGTCGCCCAGTCTCCTGGAAGCTTCACGAGGCTGTGAGGCTCCACATGGGTCACTCGGAACAAGGAGTTGGCCTGTGACTTGCTGCTTCACTTAGGAGGGGCAGCCACCCTCAGGGCACTGAGCACTTGGGAACATTTGATCTTAAAAGCAAAGCTCCTTTAAGTAAAGTTTCCACTTAGGCATTGAAGTTTTGTTTGTGTGTGTGTGTGTGTGTTTTTAAAGACTTTTCCATGTGTCCTCATTTTCTTCCTAATGCATTTTAACAACAGATAACTTTTTCATGGCCTGATAAATAGTCCGAGTTTATTTTTTGCTATTATTTTCTTTTCCTTGCATTGTTGCTTTTTCATCAACAAAAAGTCAGTTCACTTCTAAGCCTCTGTGATCACATGAGACCAAAAAACAAAATAAAACCCAGAACACCCAGTCAGCATCTGGCAAGTGGGGGAAAGAAAAGGCCAAATTGGTTAATGTTTCATCTTCCCGCTCCCCAAGCCATGTGGTAAAAGGGAAAAATTCCTTCAGGATCGAGTGGAATTCTAGCCAGCCAGGCTTCCAGTTCTGTCCCAGGAATCCCCGCCCGGAGTGGCTTTGCTGGGGCCAGGTGGGGCCAACCGAGCCAGACGATGAAAGCGTAGCAGGCCTCCTAGAACAGGCGTCCCAACTCTGGGGCAGGCCTGTCCCTTAACGGGGGGCAACACCCTATTGCTGGTAGCAGAGGCCCAGGCCCAGGAAAAATTTCCCAAGTCTGCCTGTCCCGAAACGCATCAGCCTGTCAAGCTAGCGACTCCGTGCAAAAGAATTGCCCTTTCCCATCCAGCTGCCCCGTAGACGGGGAAAACAAATGAAGTCCTTAAAACTACTTTAAAAAAATGCCTGGAAAAAAAAAAAAAAACAGTCCAGGCATTGAAATTGCTCTGTGAGCAGGTTTGGATGTTAAGGAGAGGGGGAGGGGAGAGGGAGAAAAAAGTTAATCTGGGAGAAAATGCTTGAGCCCTTAATTAGAGGGGTGTAAGCGGGACCCAGCGAGGATGGCTGGTGACTTGTTAAAACAAAGTCTCCCCAGCTCCAGCAGGAGGAAGGAAGGAAGGGAAGGAAGGAAGGAAGCAAGAAGGAACAGCTTCAGGAATTTTAATGGTTGTAATTAAGTACAGCAAGTCTGAATTGTTCCGCGGCTTAATTGAACCTTACCCGAGCAGGCTCCAAGTTGCTACTTGCTCGGTCCCCGGTTCCCCGAACTCGGACTTTCTGTGGTCACAGGGATTGTAACCTGCTCGGGTGCCAGGGTCACTGCCGGCAGCATTGTCTTTCTTTCTTTTCTGGAGAGGCTTTTGCTATAGGGCGCGTGCACTTGCCAGAGAGACAGAGAGAGACAGAGAGACAGAAAGCGAGAAATCACCCCCCAGGGGGGATGGCCAAGCCGCAATCCCTTATCCTCCATTCTCTTCTTGGGATCTTGGGCATGCATGCACACGCACCCGGTGTGAGTTTAAGCCACCGGGTCCGGGACTCGAACCACTGTCGGCTACATGGGAGTTCAGCGACATAGCCATTACATGTCAGTGTGTTCTAGAAGAGTCCCAGGACTGGCTTGGCTAGGCTCAGGTGACCCCAGGACGGGGTGACAGAGTGACCTCGGAGGGTGGTGGGAGACCCGCTGCGCTTTGCCAGCACACACGTGCACACCCGCAGATACAGGAGGGAGAAAGGAGAGCGCGAGGCTCCGTGGCCGCTAAGTCTGTCTCTTTCCTCCCCAGATCTGTCCGATTCCACATTGTCTTACACTGAAACGGAGGCCACCAACTCCCTCATCACGGCTCCGGGGGAATTCTCAGGTTGGCATTTTCCCTCCTCCCCTTGCTGTTGCGTTGAACTTTGTCCGAGGGGACAGGTGGGAGGGGGAGGCATGCGGGAGGACTTCCTGGTTTCCCCTCCTTTTGGGTTTCCTCTTTTCCTCCCACCCCTGGGATGGGCAGATCGCCAGCATTTTAGTCCCTGGTGTTCTTGGGACCTGTGTGAGCGAAAGCTGACCACGACGGCGTTGCCAGTGTCCATCGGGCACGATTTAACTGGACGTCTCTACTGCGTCCTCCTCCCGCCTGGTCCTCCATCCCTGGTCTGAGCAAGGGCGTGGTATCCGTCCTCTTTCTCCCACCCTCACTCTGGGAGAGGGGTGACGTAGGGTCCAAAGTGGGGGAGAAATGAACTGGGTTAGTGAGCCCTGGTGGGGGTGGATCTCACAAACGGGGAGTGGCCATGGCCAGTGGTTCCCAGGCCTCTCCCTGAGCAGTGGATGCAGCTAGGAAGGAGGCAGGGAGCCCTGGTTGGAGCTCACACGCCCTGTAATTAGGAGCTGACCATAGGGACCCCCACATTTGGGGGAAACACCTAAACCAGCTTTCCTTGAGAAATGAGAGGTTGGTGGTGAAGAAGGGCATTGGGGGCCCGGAGGGGCACAGGTGGCCTGGTTTGTGGGGCCCTTTTGGGGAGCATGGCGGGTGGCGTGTGCTGGGGAGGATGGCTGGGGCCCGAGGCCTTGCTCTGTGTGGGCTGGGGCTGTGTGCCAGTGGGCCTGGCTGGAGCTG